ACTACAAGCACGGAAACTTTCATGTAGCCTTTAGCCTTCTCTCCCAAAGAATACTGGTGCCTGACCAAACTACACATCCCAGAATTGTGTATGATGGAGCCATGGCAATTAAAGAGGTGTCAAATTATTTCTACAGTGTAGATTCACCCTATGATCCAGAAGTGGAACTATGAAGGAATTAGACAAAATCTTGAAATTAAAAATATATCACTGAATGTTCCATGAAATTATATTTCCCATTACTATGTCTAGGTGTGAAAGCTGGACAGTGAAGAAAGCTGATAGGGAAAAAAAATCAATTCATTTGAAATGGAGAAGAATTTTGTGGATACCCTGAACAACTAGAAAGACAAATAAATGGATCTTAGAACAAATCAAGCGTGGACTCTCCCTAGAAACCAGGATGATTAAACTTGCTGATGTACTTTGACCATATCATGAGAAGACAGGACTTATTAGACAATAATGCTTGGTAAGTAGAAGGCAGTAGGAGAATCAGAAGACCACATTACAGGTGGATCGATTCAATCAAGGAAGCCACAGCTCTGAGTCTGCAAGACCTGAGCAGGCTGCTGATGCCACAGTGCCTTGGAGGTCTCTCATTCACAAGGTTGCCATTCCCACAATTGCACTGTTTACATGCTTTATGCACAGTAACAGAATGTCTACTCTTTGTAACAGAATGCTTATCCTTTGTAAAAAATGCCTTGGGTACAGTTTGGGAGGAAGGCAGCATATAAAACAAACAAGCAAACAAATAAAATAAGGAAATTCAAGTGTGTTCAGTGGATCTTAACGAGTTGCAGTCATAGTGTTATAATTATAGTTGTAAGGATGAATGCCATTCATGAACACTTACAGGTTATTGTTATGTGCGAACTGTGGAAATCATAGTTTGATTGAACAAGCCTATTTCAATTTGTGTTTTATAATCCTGACTTGTTTGTGTCATGAACTAACTGGAGGATTTGTTGGAAGATTGAAACCAGGAAAATAGGCTTCAGCTATAAGACTCAACATCAGGTCTGGAACTCAGACCTGAGTCTGCACTCTCAGCTGATGGCCCTATGGTACTTCTACACATAGAGTTGGAACCTGTGTGTTCTTTAGAGAATCCATCTGCCTCAGAAGAACAGGGAGAAAAGACAGGCACAGCCTTCAACTTTGAAACAGAGAGAGAGGGAGAGGGAAAGAGAGGTGTGGAATCTCAGGAGGAATGATGGCTAAGTGCAACTATGGAGAAGGGGTCACTTTCAGCAGAGAATGGCACAGCAATAATTTAGCCACTTCAAAGTCTGTGGAGGTAGCAGGACACGACACAATTGCTTATATAAAAAGATCACTTCCTACAAACAGTTGCTGAGTTCCAGGGTATGTCCTCCCCTTCTGTAACCTCTGTGTCTCAGCAGTGCTAAATCTCATCAGATCTGTACCTTCAGCCTTTGCATATTTTCTGGATTCTGTTTCCCCCATTCCTTTGCCTGAAATACAACCTGATATGACCCTGCTGTGGCTACCAGCTTGCTCATTGACTATTCTTTCCCACCTGTTCCTCCAGCTGATGAGACTCACGTGAAATCGCAAGGAATACTTTTGAATAACCCTCATCACTACTGCCTTGTGACCGGTGTTTATCTAAGGGACTCTATTGGCCAACAGGAATATAAAATAGGACAGTTTACCATATTTATTCTAACTGCAGTTGATGTTCAGAAAGAATGACAATTCATATATTGTTGAAAATGGAAGCAAATACAGCTGTGGGAGAAGCAGAGGAAAGATGGGAAGGAATTCTAGTTTCTACTATGCCAAACTCTGGTTTCATATTCTGTCCAGACATAGCAATTATTTGAATAGTGGTCTTGCCTCCTCCATCTATTGTAGTTAGGCTGTATCTAACTGTTTGTATACATAGGGCTAAACCTTCTTGTCCAACCTAGAGAATGCTAGGAATGTCTAAATCCTTAATGGGATTTAAGCACATAATTAAGAATTTAATTCCCTACTGGATTGCACATTTTGTGATTAGTCTACAATCTGTCTGAAGTGCCTGGAAATATTTGCATTGATAACCAAATTCATGTTCCTAACTACTGCATAATAGGTATCTTTTTATATTCTGCCTGATTAAATACCAGCCCTTTAGCAAATTGAGCACTATGTCAACTGCTTGTTTATCTGGCACTTTTTCCTAATTTGATATAAATCTTGAATACATTTAACCTCGTTACAGTCCTGTGAGGTAGAAAGCTATTATTTACAAGCATGAGCTACTGGGAGGGGGAAGATGATGAGGTTGAGGAAAAGTGACTTTCCCTTGCCTCCATGATGAATCCCTCTCTGCTGTTTGTGGCAACCATAATGTGAGTGCCACGGGAGTATGTACTTACAAGAATGTTTGCAGCCTTCTGGCTTGGTACCACAGAACTTCGAAAAATTACTTTTTCAACTAAGCTCTCACAATCCTATAATCAGCAGAGCCAGCAGCCATGGGGAATTGTACCAGCCAGCAACCATGGGGAATTGTACCAGTGTGATGTAAAAAGACAGTATGGTATAGTGGTTTGAGTGTTGGATTAGGAATCTGGGAGACCAGGAGTCAAATATCTGATCAACCATAGGTGACTTTGAGTAAGTCAGACTATGGACGTTATCACACGGGGGAAATCTGTTGGTTAAAATCCACACAAATCCCAAACAAAAACTGAATTTGTGCCTCACGATTTCACATGACGTTGTACAGAAACTGGTCAGAAACTGGACAGAAACTGATATTGTCCGAGATCTTTTTAATTTTGGGAGTTTAGAGAAAATGCATTTGCGAA